AGGCCACTTACTTATGAAAGCAATGGATGCGGACTATCAAAAGTATGTTTGGGTATTTCATGGGGAATCCCTCAATAATGATTATGAGGGTGACAGTGATGGTGACATGATGGATGATGAACTTGAGGATGACAATGATAATGGTGAACCATTAGGCCATGATATGTATGGGATGATAGGCGAAGCATTTGAGAATTGTCATGGCAATTCGTCTTCATCCGGACAAAATGAAGAGGCCAAAACCTTTTTCAAGTTGCTTGAAGATGCAGGCCAACCTCTTTATCATGGATGTGATGATTTTAGCAAACTGTCATTCATTATTGAGATGTATAATCTAAAATGCTTGTATGGTGTGACTGACAGAGCGTTTAATGCTTTTGTCAAGCTATTCAAAAGGGCTCTTCCCAAGGAATCATCACTGCCAAACTCTTTCAAAAAAATGCAACACATCATCAAACAATTTGGCTTGGGCTATGAAAAGATTGATGCTTGTCCTAATGATTGTGTTTTGTTTAGGAAGGATAAGGCTGGATTGTCTAAGTGCCCTGAGTGTAATGCATCAAGGTATAAGATGGCAGATGATGGAACGATCATGAAATTAGCCTCAGGGAAGCGTGTTCCAGTTAAGGTTTTACGTTATTTTCCGTTAATTCCCAGACTAAAGAGGTTGTATATGTCATCGAAGACATCTCCCTTAATGAGATGGCATGCAGATAAGAGCAAAGATGATGGAAAACTAAGGCATCCAGCAGATTCTCAAGCATGGAAAGATTTTGATTCGAGATACCCTGACTTTGCCAAAGATCCTCGAAATGTGAGGCTTTGCTTGGCCAGTGATGGGTTTAATCCCTTCGGAAACTTGAGTAACCAGTATAGCATATGGCCAGTTGTTCTCATGACGTATAATTTGCCACCATGGTTATGCATGAAGCAATCCTATAGCTTTCTTTCATTGCTTATCCCGGGTCCAACAGGACCGGGTAATAATATTGATGTCTATTTAGAACCTTCAGTGGAAGAGCTAGAAGAATTGTGGGAAAGAGGTGTGGAAACTTATGATGCATTTGATGACGAGTCTTTCATGTTACGGGGAGCCTTACTTACAACCATTAATGACTTTCCAGCATATAGCATTTTGTCAGGTAGGAAAACAAAAGGGAAACATGCTTGTCCACATTGTGATGTAGAAACTTCTTCCCTATATCTGTACGGTAGCAGAAAAATGTGCTATATGGGACATTGCCGCTTCTTACCCGGAGACCATGCATTTCGACGTATGAAGAAAGCTTTTGATGGAAAAACAGAAATGAGGCCACCTCCTCCAATAGTGTCTGGGATCGACTTGGTTGATCAATTGAATGAAGTTGATGTGACATTTGGAAAGCATCCAGAAACAATTAAAAGAAACAAAAGACGTAAAGGGGCTGATACACCTTGGAAGAAGAAAAGTATTTTTTTCCGACTTCCATATTGGAAGCATATCTTGATTAGGCATCATCAGGATGTTATGCATGTTGAAAAAAATGTTTCTGAAAACATCCTTGGAACACTTCTGGGCATTGAAGGAAAGAATAAAGATTCCCTGCAGTCATGTATGGACTTAAAGCATTTGAACATAAGGCATAATTTACACTTTATTGAAAAAGATGGCAAGACATATCTACCTGCTGCACCTTTTACTCTAAGCAAGAAAGAGAAGGAAGATTTTGTTAATGTTTTAGCCTCTGTCAAAGTACCAGATGGGTATGCCTCAAACATCAAACGACGAATTGTGGATGGTAAGATTTATGGTTTGAAAAGTCATGACCATCACGTTATAATGCAACAACTATTGCCATTGGTTGCAAGGAAGATGCAAAATAAGAAATTGGGTGCTGTTCTGATTGAGTTGAGCTCTTTTTTCAAAGAATTGTGCTCGAAAGTTGCTACTGCATCTGAATTTAAGAGCTTGCAAGAGCGTGTTGTTGTTACACTATGTAAATTAGAGCTCATTTTCCCGCCTTCTTTCTTCGACATAATGGTGCATTTAGTTGTCCATCTGGCATATGAAGCCATGATCACAGGTCCAGTGATCTATCACTGGATGTATCCAGTAGAGAGGTTAGGTACTTGCCATATGGAACTATTCTATACTTTTGTTATTATATCGATATGTTACTTTTATTTCAAGTTCTAAATTGCAGATATTTGAGGACGTATAAATGTTTTGTTCGCAATAAATCTCGTCCTGAGGGGTCAATAGCAGAAGGCTATATTGCAAACGAGTGTTTGACTTTTTGTGCAAGGTACCTGCATGATACTGAAACAAGGGAGAATAGGACTTCTAGGAACAATGATGATGGTGGTGAAGTTAAGTTTTGTCTCTCTGTGTTTTCTATAGCATGGAAGTCTTTATCCAAAATGGAAGAGATTAGACCTGACCATGCATTCATTGAGCACGCACACAATTATGTGTTATTTAACTGCGAGGAAGTTAAAGTTTATGAGCAGTAAGTATAACTTTATATTATTTTTATAGTCCATAGAAATTGATGTATCTTAATTATCAAGAAGTGTGGAATGGATAAGTAACACTTTTAATTATCATCGTGTGGCTCTTTAGGGATCACTACTCCATTGTTGCTATGGAATATCAAGGTGTCAAGAATAATGTTGATAACATTCATAGGGAAAGATTTTCAAATTGGTTTTCTTGTAATGTAAGTAATAATACATATAGTACAATTGTATATATGCTTTATACCCATTTTCTTAGACTATTTTAGTGTTCAAGTTTCTAGGCATCTTCCCTTAGATCCATGCTTATCGGAGGACTTGAAGTGCTTGAGTGCTTTTCCAAGTGCTAATGTTAGAAAAATGTCCAAGATTACATGTAATGGGTACAAATGGAGAATTAAAGCTATTGACAATAGAAGCGTGACACAAAACTCAGGCGTTTTAGTTAATTCTGTCACAAGTGCTGGGGACATTACGTGGTTTGGCATTCTTACTGGAATATTTGAGTTAGCATATCCATTGGGGAGAAGTGTGATTTTGTTTGAATGTCATTGGATGGATCCGACAAAAGGCGTGAAAAAAGATGTGCATGGCCTTGCACTAGTTAATCTTAAAGCTCGTTGCAAGACTAATGAGCCGTTTATCCTTGCATCTCAAGCAATACAAGTATTTTATACCCCAGAGTCTAAGGAGTAGAATTGGCATGTAGCGATTGCAACAAAACCTAGAGATCTATATGAAGTTGATGGTGACAACATACTCGAAGTGGATCTCATGCAATCTACTCAATCAAATTCGCTAGATGGAGATGATTTTACTAATGTCAGAGATGACATAATAAGAGTTTCAGTAGACATGCCAGTAATTGATGCATCTGGAGCGGATAATGATGATTCAAGAGAGAACATTCATAGTAGCGAAAGTGACACTGAAGATGATACATTATATGATTACGATGAGTAGTAGTAGCCGTCTATATTATGTTTAGGTTCTTGTTTTTAAATTATTGACATATTTCAGGCCTATATTATTTAAAAAATTCTATTTTGACACTGTTTTCTGCATGTTTTCTTGTTAATTTGAGTATCTAATTGGTGATATAAGTTGCAAAAAGGTTGATTTGTTCATATTTTTATGAGTACAACATGCATGAATTTTTTATGTATGAATTCTGTGCAGATTTTGAAGCATTTAAAAGCTAAATATGCAAAAAAAACTGATTTGTACTTGCTGATTTTTCTGAAATCTGCACTACTCATACTGATTTTTTGTCCTTTAGAGTGCTTTGTTGCCTGAAGTATGAAATATTATTGATATATCTTTCTTAGGGACAACATTTATAAGCATATCATGATGTTTTTTATGCTTAAAGTGCTGATTTTAAGAAAAATCTGATCTTAATAAGTGTCATTTAAAAAAATCTGCAATTTTTTTTTAATATTCAAGCTGATTTTTGTGTTTCCCAGATGCTTATGTGCTTAAATTTTCTTCATATATTGAATTCTTGAATCTCATTGTTTGTTCATTTCATGTCTCTATTAAAAAAATAATGTTTATAATTGTATTAGACTATGAAAGGTACAGGAAAAACTGGCATGAAGAACCAAAATAAGCAAGCGATTACAAGCAGTCAGCTAATTGTACGATACAATTATACATTTTGATTAATTTATGACATATATTATGAATTTAAAGACAAATTGTGTGTATTACAGGGTTATTTAAATAGGGCAAAAAGTGGTCTTGCCAATTCAAAGAAGGATTGTAGTTCTCTACTTCAACAAACATCACTCTGTCGTTCTTTATTCTCCGAGAGGACCACACCAAATCTTACAAACCTAGGTATTCAAATTAAGTTAAAATATTTGATCTTATCATATAATTTAATAGTCTATGTAGGTTTTTGTTAAGTTATAGAAGTCAATGTAGGTTTTTCTAAGTATACGCGAAATGATGAAGAAATGGCCCTTAATAGGTGGGCGTCGTTACTTGGCAAAATGGGTGAGTCTTGAGCAGAGACGTTTTATTCATTTATGGTCTAAAAAAAGTATGTATAATAACAAAATACTTTTCAACGTATTTCACTCTTAATGATATTTATAGAGGTGAAAGCATTGGAAAAAAGAACCCACATAGTGGAAATGAGTTGACTCAACAAAATGAAGGACATCACTGTGTCTCAAGAGGTAAACCATATAAACACCTAGTGCAATCCACATCCAGCTTGTATGTTTTTTTTTGTTTTCACTTTTATATTTTATCAGCAAAAGATCACCTTAAGGGAACAGGTAAAGCAATGGCAAAAACTTCATTTACTGAAACTGGTTTTCAATCACAAAATGAAGTACATGTATCAGCTGATATAGGTAAGTCATCTACACATATATACATTATTACCATGTTAAATACAATGTAAATTTAAATGCATAATTTTAGAATAATTTGTGATAATCTTAAATCCCACAGGACATGTTGAAAGTGATGAGGAAGTAACTCTTCAAACTCCTACCATCGTGGGAAAATATGGCAAAAACTTTAACACTGAAGCTCAAATTGGTGATGAAGAATGTCATATCCAAGAACGTGAAACTAATGTTCAAAAGAAAGTGAAAGGACGTGGTAACAATAAAAGGAAGGTCTTGGATAAATCTGTCTTTGTTGAACTTAATGAAGATAATGTGCCAGTAAGTGATTCACAGAGACAAATGTCTTCTTTGATTGGTACCCTTGTACGGGATCCTAGAAAACTACCGCTTGATTGCTTTGATTGGAGAAAAATGGAAGAGGCAAAGAAGGAGCTAATATGGACAGAAGTCAAGGTATGCTTAATTTTTATAAATGTATATTTCCAATACCTTAAAAATTAAAGTGACTCTTTTATTTTATTGACAACTTACCTGTTCATGAAACATAAAATGTCTTAGAGGTCTTACAACTTTCCCGAAGGAAAGGAGCCACGTGAATGGGTGATAATGAAAGCACATGCTTCTTGGAAAGATTACAAATCTGAGCTTAAAGAAAAATATTTTAATGGAAAAACTCTTGCAATAGCATTACAGAATAGGCCCCAGCATATACCTCCGAATATGTGGACGAACTTGGTGGAGTTTTGGAGTTCAGATTTAGGCAAGGTATTATTTTAAAACTCTTTTTCATTAATTGTATATGTTAATTTATTTGATGTGTATAACTTTAAGAATATCAAGTATTTTTTCTTGTAGAAAAGAAGCGAAATAGGGATTAAGAATCGTGGTAAGAATCGAGTTCCACATTATTCTGGGACAAGAAGTCATGCCCGTGTTCGAGCTAATGAAGAGGTACCTGATACATTATTCGACATTATTCATATTCATTTAGGATGAGTGGAACAAATAAATAACAATATGAACTTACAATTTTTTGCGCTTTGCGAACTGTGGAGCAACATTGTTGATATGATCTTCTCGTTTATCATGTGATACAATCCTTATGTGCTTATGCCAATAATAACTTATGTCTCCAACATGTTTTTTAGGCAAAAGGAAATAAGATAGACAAGCTTGGAACATGGCTCTTGACACATGAGCCTAAGAAAGGTTCAAAACTTGATGATATTTCAGCTATGAAAAAGGTAAATAAAAGTAGAAAAAACCTTATTTTTCATTGTTATTTAGAAAATTATACTCTTATTCATTGGTAATTTATTCATAATTTTACAGGAGTTAATTCTTAAGAAGTTGGATACTTTGAAAGATATAGAAGTTGGTGCACCTGCTTGTGATGAAGTTTTTGAAAAGATAGTGGGAGAAGACAAAAATGGATATGCAAAGACCTTTGGTATGGGAATTAGAGTTCCTCGATCTTGTACTAAACGGTGCGCCTTGAAGGAGGAGAAAGCAAAAAGATTGAAAATTGAACAAGAGCATGAAGCAACAAAAGAGAGACTCCAGAATTTAGAAGATGTAGTGGCATTGCTTTTAAATTCCATGGTTAGTCTCTATTTATTATTGTTAACTACCCATATATTTCATTTGATTTTTGTTGTGTTCATTATATAGTTTAAAGTTATGCCACCCAGTATGAGTAAAAGGTAAATTTAGTGCAAAATATATAACTACGTTATAATCCCTCAACTATTTTTTTTCATAGGGTTCAAAAGCTAATCAATCTGAAATCAATGACCTTATGACTGATGGTAATACAACCACTGAGAAAAGTCATGATGAGGATCGATGGAACAAAGATGATGAAGCTGAGAATGATGAACTTGAAGATTTATACCGTGACGAGCATTAAAGCTTTGGACTATCGATGCGTAAATTTATTTTAGTTCACTTTGATTGTTTATACTTTAACATAAATGATAAACTACTTTTGTGATGTTGGTTTACTTTCTAGTAATTGGGTTAGTTGTAACCCTTTAGAATGTTATCGTATTATGTATTGTTGTTAATACAAGTATGACTATTATTTTTTTTGTCAATGAAATTATTTAATATCACTTAAATAGTTGATATTAGTGACAGTTATAATAAATGTAAATGTTGGTCAAAATAAGCTATTACCGACAGAAAAAAATGTTTTCCTAACATCTTTTTCTGTCAGTAATCTAACTTTTAGCGACAGTTATAATAAATGTTAATGTTGGTAAAAACAAGGTATTACCGACAGAAAAGAAGGATTTACCAACACTATGTTTTGTCGGTAATTCATTTTTTAGCGACATATATGTTTTGTCGGTACTTCTCTCTTTTTAGTGACTTTTTTTTGTCTGTCGCTATTACACTATTTTAGCGACAGTATATTTTATCTGTCGGTAATACTTTTACTGACGGACTTTTTAGCGACAGCTTAGCGACGGACAATTATCTGTCGGTAAAAGCAATTAGCGACAAATATTTAACCATTAGCGACATATTGACCCCTGTCGCTATTGCCTTCTTTTTTTGTAGTGATGGTCATCTCGGGCCATGTGTTGCAAACGCATGTTGGTCGTCAAACGTAGTACTGTACAATATTTCCACAGATATGATGAATTAATCGTAGCATTGACAATGTTTTTTGTCTTCGGCCTTTAGGAATCACTGGAAGTATTTGTCTAAAATCTCCTCCAAAAACAATTGTCTTCCCTCCAAATGGTAGCTCAGAATTGGCTTGATTGACGACACTCATCACATCACGTAAACTTCTATCCAAAGCTTCAAAACAATATTTATGGGTCATTGGAGCTTCATCCCAGATGATAAGTTTGCTTTGAACTAATAAATCCGCCAATGGCGTCTTTTGTTTAATGTTGCATGTGGAATTTTCATGAGGATTGATTGGAATTCCGAATCGGGAATGCGCAGTTCTTCCTCCTGGTAACAATAGCGATGCAATACCACTTGAAGCAACATTTAACACGATATCTCCCCTTGAACGTATGGAGGCAGACAAAGTTTTCCAAACGAATGTCTTTCCAGTTCCGCCATAGCCGTAAATGAAAAAGACCTTCCCCTGACACCCATCAACAGATGCCATTATTGTTTCATAAGCTGAACGTTGTTCTTTGTTCAACTCCCCCATCATCCTTTGATGTTCTTCTTTTAAGGCAACATGATCATAATTCAATTCGTCAAGAATTAGTCTATTCCGAGATGTAGAAGCAGCATCTAACTTTGGGAATGGCATGTCAATAAAATCTCGAAGGCTCTTAGCTCGCATCCTCAGTAAGCACTCTATCTCGATTAAGGCGTAATTCTTTATTTGATCTTCACTTAAGATTAAATCTGCGCGTGAGAATGGTAAATATATTGGACTTGGTAGAATTCTTTAAAAAAACTATTAGTAGATAATTACCTTGATGATTCAAAAGAGTTCTTTGACGATATATGATGTCATCAGCCATGTAATTCCAACAATGTTCCCATACATGCTTAGGCCTGGACATTGACTCGTTAGTCAACAGTGTGACAAATAAGAATCTCAACTGTTTGGCAGAACACCATTCACTTGCTTCCTTGAAAGCATCGATATACTTCCTATCATCGTCTAGTAATCCCATGGCATATTGTGCGTCACGATAGGTCTCATGAACAACACCATTAACAGTTCTCAAATCTTCGTACGAAGTTGGACCTCTAACTATATTTAGAAGAATCCTCATGTAATAAGATTCGCCAGACCCAGGGGGGACGTAGATGACACGACCGATAGCAAATCCTCTCAGTCGAGGTTCATACTCTCTTTTCGCTTGTTTCCAAACGAATTTTTGAGGAAACTCAGCATATGTTAAAGTTTTTGCATCGTGATATTTTTCATTGGCCTTCATCCAAGCTAGGAATTTACTTTCACGTATGCTTTCTCGAGTATAAACGTCACCTGCATCATCATCATCTTCAAAGAAAATCCATTGCTCACCATGCAGGTGAAAGCTCAAGCGTTTAACATTAGGACATTTAAATTGAATTGGAAATCCAAATATTCGCCACGTTGCGTCGCAAGGGGATATGTACCTGCAATCGTAATAGAGTTTAATTTCATTAGGAGTTTCTGCAGTTTGATTCTCCCTCGTTTCTGTGCTTGCATAAAAGCCAGCTGTAACACGGTCGTGGCCTTTGTTTATATACTTGAACTAATATTTGATAGAACGTGATTGATTGCACCATTCCACATTGAGGTGAGCCCCATACTTGAGCAAGAGATATCTATTATGCGGGACCACAAATCTATTATCCAAATGAACATTGTTCTTCATTATTGTTCGGCCATCATTCCTTCTCCGATATTTTGGGTAACCATCATCATCAATAATCGTGTTATCGTTGAATAACTTTGGGAAGTACTTAGAGCACTTTCCATCCTTCATGCAAGGAGATCTCGGTGCATCGCTTCCACACGGTCCGTGAATCATAAAGTCTCGAACTGCATTAAAGTACAATGGATCATTAAACTCATTAGGCAACTTAGCAGATATTATTTCATCAATATCCTTAGGCGTTGGATACTTATCCTCTTGACCTAAGAACAATAAGATGTGTGCATGCGGTAGTCCACGCTTCTGGAATTCGACAGTGTAAACAACTACAATATAGCAGGGGCAACATGAGATGAGAAAAGGACGATGATTTTTACATAACAAATAACATATTGTATAAATTATTAAAAATACCAGCTCTTAGTCTTCCAAAAATCTAGTTCTTCTTCAAATCCTTTATCAGTCCATTGAGCTTCATGTTGAAGACTCTAGATATCACATCTGGACGATCTTCAGGCTTCAAGTCTCTCTTATTCAAGAAACGCTCAATTTCGGGCCATTTTGGGTTACATGTGAACGTAAGAAACAGATCAGGATAGCCAGTCCAACGACAAATTTCCATGGCATCTTGATAGTTTTGAATCATGTATCGGGCACCCCCCACAAACGCAGGGGGTACTACAATCCTTTTCCCTTTGGTCGCCGTATCGTTATCACCTTGCACTAATGAATCCGAGAATCTATTGTACATGTCACAACGTAATTTTTTTGGTGGGTACTGATGTACGTCAATCTTGAAGACTCAATCATCGTATAACCATCCACACACAACTCTTGAAAGAGTCGACGTGCTCGCAATATGAATGTACTTTCATTACTCCTTTCGTGTAAACGATAAGACAGGAATTCTCTAATGCTCACACTCCTGCATCCCCCGACCTTCAGGTGTGTTTTCTCAACAAAGGGTATATCTTCTCGATAACCATCATCTCCGTATGGTAACAATAATGGATATTGGAGACTTAGATAAGCTGGATTTAACTCACTAATCCGTTTCAAAGGTCCAGATTGGGTTTGGACTAAAATATCCTGCTCTCCTAAAGCTTGATCCAAGTCCCCTACAATTAAGGCCGCCACTTCGCCTACGGATGGTAAATTGTAAACTCGCGGATCAGAAGTTCTCTTCCCAATTAATCTCAGTTTGTATTCCAAGCTACTTGACTCATCTATCATTTGCCCAACAATCCGAAAGGACAGGACTAAGACATTGTGAGCATCCAACATGCATCTTAGCTTTGACACAATCTCAACATGAAGCGTTTGCACATCGTCTTCAGGCATGTACATTATATAAGGGAAATTTCAGAATGGACTTATGAAAAGAAGCTTTAAAAGTACATAATATATTTATATGATGGGAATTATATACAATTTGAAAATCTAAAGAAATTATATGGTAAGAAATAAGTACCTCAAAGCCTTAATTCTGTTGAAATCTTCATTTTGAGTGTCATAAATGTATAATTGTGCAAATCTGGGAAGTAATCCATTAGATGGTAGCAAGCTCCCGATTTGATGGTAATTTTGCCCGCCCAGTTTAAACGTTGGAGGTCCTCTACCAGGAGTTGAATCTCTAATTATCCGCCCACCCAACGACGTGAAAGAGAACATGCAAATATAGGATCTAATATTTGTTTGAAAGTGCCTACATTGGGAATTATTTCCAGTAATGAATTCTCTGAGTGGAGACGGCGGTTCCTTGACTAGAGCTAATTTAATCTTTCCATGCTTACAACACAAAGAATACTTTGGATTTTTCTTGGAAGAGTGACTAACCAAACGCTCATCTAGCCAAAAATAAGCATTGCAGCTTTTACATTGGTAAATACAATCACCAATATCCCAATATTCGAGTATTTGTGAAAACTTCTTTCTAGAAGACTCAATCATTGGGGAATTGTCAGGCTCAATGGCATTCATAAACTCCAAATCTAAATCCCTAACAACCTCGTCTTGATCATGATGGTAAGGTCCATGACATAAATTTGAATCAACGCCCCAAGTTTGTGTAATAAACACATCCGTAAGAACAGGCGAAATAAGAGGTGTACTGCTATCTCCATTCACTGCCCATGTTCAAAACTACTTATGTATAAAACTTGAAATATGGCAAAAAAAATACGAAATGTGAAGAATAAATGTATTAATTTTACACATATGAAAAAAATAATGCAAAACATACCAGCTTCAAATGATCGTTTGCTACCTGTACTTGCTTTTTTTTGTGTTATACAACTCTGAGGTTGAGTTGTGTAATTAGGCGTATATAAATGATTTGAGGCATCAACAAATCGTGATGAAGACGAAGAGTATCGATCAAACGGTGTACAAACCATCACTGAAAATAAAATGAATAGGAAAATTATATTCCAAATAAACTCAATTTTTTAAAAATATGTAAGACCTTAAAAGTAATTTTTACCATTTGTTATGTTGCTCAATGTAGTATAATTTTCCATGTCCTTTCGACACCTTCTTTCATTCTCTTTAGCGGTATTGGAACTTCCATTTTCTATATAATTTGTAAAATTGAAAATATAACACACAAATTAATATAGTTTATATTTACTAAAATAACATTAAGGCTTAACATGTCATTAATTTTAAATAATCGGTAAACAATGCTGAGATAATTCAATACAACAATACCAATGCCTAACAAAATATAAATAAGTAATAAAAAACAAAATTGTGGATCTTGGCAAATAAAAAAACCATAGATGTATAACAAACTGATTAGCATCTTGCAATATTTAGGACATTACACATTCCTTATACACTACATAATTATCGTTACAAAATAAACTAATAGTGACGCTAAGTTTCAAACAAAAAACATCAAGGAAATAAATAGTCGTCACTCTAATACATGTTTTAGGTTAATAAAAAAGTACATAGTCATCGTTGAAATATTTCCTGTTGGCTATTTTAAGCCTTTTGGATCTTCTCAACGAAGCGAATGTAGGTGTTAAATCCATTCCTTGCTCAGATGGAGAAATACGTGGCGGAGTTGGTAATATTGGCGGAGGAGTGTAGGACAATGGAGTCGGAAATGGTGGTGGTAAAATAGCACAATTATCACAAATAAAAAAGGGACCAAAACCATCAAAGCCAATTTGCAAGCAGCGCATATGACCAGAGACACTAAAGCATTTCCAACACATTTCCATATCAAGTGAATCTTCATTACTGTTGCACTTGTAACATGGATCAATTAAACTTCCAATTCCTCCTAAATTTTTTAAAAAAAGCATATCATGATTTTTTTAAACAAATGAAACCAAAAGAATAATTTAATAGTTATTTATGTTTACATATCATGGCCTAGTGTGTTAATTCGGCCTAGTTGTAATGTTAAAAAAGAAATAAATAGTGGAGGCCCAAGAACCGTCCGTTTTTAATCTTTCGTTCCCATACACCCTACCCCTATCCGCCGCTGCCTACGACTCTCTACATCTCTCTAGAAACCTCCACCTTCGTCCCTCAGTCGATGAGCAATCACCGCCTCCTGGAATCGTCTACTATGGTTATCTGGTTATTACCGATCTTGACGCCGGCATCTTGCTGTGTTTTTGAAGTACTCCGGCACTTAATTTTTAGAAAGGGGTAATTTTATTCAATTTCATGTAATCTCAGATCTGATTTTTTCTCCTCTTTTCACATCCAATAATTTTAGATCTTGAAATTGGGGATATATACATACAGCCTTTGATTTATAACATTAGACTTTTTTTTGTTTCGTTCTAAATTTTCAATTTTTTTTAAAGTGCCAGATCTGTATTTGAGAAAACCAATGATCTGTGAAAAAAATCCATATCCGTTAAACTGAATTACACATTCTTCTGATGATTTTTATTTTTTAGTGCTTTTAAAATTTGGAATGTTAATTCTTGTTTCTTAAAGCTATTGTACCTCATTAATCATGTTCAATAATCTATGAGCATGTTTAAGGTTCAATTGCACACTAACATATTGAAGAATTGTATTTTCATTGAATAAATATGTGAAGAGTACAAGTATATATATACAACTTCTCAATCCTAATTATGGTAGGAGAGGTATTCTAGGAAAGCTATACAATTATGGAAGCAAATCATAATTAATAATATTAAATATATTTTATATATTTAACATGCTCCCGGCTACGTCGGATGTGCTGGGGGTCGGATGCCCAGACTTTCTCTAAAGTCTAGAAATAAGAGAGAGGGCAGTCCTTTTGTGAAGATATCTGCGAACTGAGAGGACGAAGGAAAATGAAGGACTTTGATCTGGCCAAGCGCCACTTTGTCGCGGACAAAGTGAATATCAACCTCGACGTGCTTGGTGCGCTGATGTTGCACCGGATTTGATGACAGGTAAACGGCACTAACATTGTCACAGAAGAAGAGTGTGGCGCGACGGAGTGGTTGTTGCAGCTCAAGAAGAAGATTCCGGATCCAGCAGGTCTCTGCAACGGCGTTAGCAACAACCCGATATTCTGCCTCGGCGCTAGGGCGAGAGGTGGTGGCCTGGCGTTTGGAGGACCAGGAAACGAGATTATCGCCCAAGAAAATGCAGTAACCTGATGTGGAGCGTCGAGTGTCAGGACAGCCAGCCTAGTCAGCATCGGAGTAAGCCTGTAAGAAATCAGTGGCGGATCGTGTCAGATGAATCCCGTGGGTGGCAGTACCACTGAGATAGCGAAGGACACGCTTCATGGCGGTAAGATGTGCATCGCGTGGAGTGTGGAGGTGTAGGCAGAGCTGCTGAACTGCATATGTGATATCGGGACGAGTGAAGGTGAGGTACTGTAGTGCACCAACAATGGACCTGTAAAAGGACAGGTCGGAGAGTGCCGAACCAGCTGTGCTAGATAGTTTTGCCTTCGTGTCCACCGGGGTTGAGATGGGGCGGCAAGAGGCCACCCCTTCCCGCTCAAGGATATCATGAGTAAACTAAGTCTGGTGGAGGAAGAGTCCGGTGGCTATGCGCTGAACATTGATCCTAAGGAAAAAATGCAGGTCGCCCATGTCTGTCATGGAGAATTCAGCCTTGAGCTGCTGAATGAGACTTTGAAGCAGTGCCGGGGAGGATGCCGTGAGTACAATGTCATCAACATATAGAAGCAAGTAGGCTGTGCCCATAGGCTGGGAGAAGATGAATAGGGAAGTGTCAGCCTTGCATCCTCGGAAGCCAATAGTCTTTATGAAACCTGCAAACTTGTGAAACCAAGAGCGTGGTGCTTGCTTAAGACCATAAAGAGCCTTCTTGAGTTTGCAAACATAATGGGGGCGAGTGGGATTCTGAAACCCAGAAGGCTGGCTGGCATAAACGGTCTCCTGTAGCTGACCATGGAGGAACGCATTTTTGACATCAAGTTGGTGAATGGGCCATCCACGAGACAGAGCAAGGCTGAGGACGATACGAACAGTGGCTGGCTTGACAACGGGGCTGAAGGTCTCGTCATAATCAACGCCAAAACATTGGTTGAAGCCGCGAACCACCCAACGGGCCTTGTACGTGGATAACTCACCTGAGGGGCCAAATTTGTGTCTAAAAAGCCATTTACCGGTGATAAAGTTTTTGGAGGGGGAGGGGGGTACTAATTCCTATGTTTCATTCTTTATCAAGGCATTAAATTTATCACACATAACAGCATGCCAGTTTGGATCTTTTAGTGCACTACGGTAGGTTGGGGGTAATGGGGAGATGGGGACAGAAGTGTTGAGATTAAG